CAGCAGAGGGCGGCAGGGCCGTCAGTTGCAGGGCCGCGGTGCTCGAAAGGCGATGGGGGATGCAACGATCAACGAGCGCGGGGGCCCCAGCGGGGCCAGCGGGGGCGACGAGGAGGGGAGAGGCGCGGCGCGTCGTCGCTCAAGCCAAGTCTCTGCAGCGGCGCATTCGAGCGCCGCCAGCTGGCGCGCCAGCTGTTGCTGCGCGCGCGCGCGCGCGCGCGCGATCAGGTGCGCGCCGCTCCGCGCCGCGCCGCGCCGCGCCAGGCCGGGCGCGGGCGCCGCGCGCGCGGAGCGGGCGCGCAATGGCGGAAGGTGCCATGGCCCAGGCCGCCGTCCCGCAATGGCCGGGGCGGGCGTCGGCACCGCGGCCGCGCATGAAATCTGAAAGAGGCGCGCCCGGAAAGGTGGAGCTTGACGAATTCCGGGCGCGTGTGCGCCCGGCGGGTTCGGCGGTTTCCGAACGGTTCCGGCGCGCGCCCACGTGTGCGGGTGCGGGGTGCGAATGCCGCCCCCTTTTTGCAATACCCTCGCCGCCGCCGCGGCGGGCAGGCAAGCAGCCGGACGATCGTGATCGTCCTGGCGGACGCGGCGCGCACGGCGCGGTGACGGCGGGAGGGGGCCCGATGCAGGGGCCGGCGGCGGCGCCGCCGTTTGCAGTTTTAATACAGAGTCCAGGTCCGCTGCGCAACGTTGGCGTGAGCACCAAAACCCTAGCAAGTCAAAGCCGTAGGAAGCTAGCAAACGTCCATAATTTCGTGTCACCCCCGGCAAGCAAGTGCATGTGCTCCCAGGCGCACACACTTTGGCGACGGGCACCCGCGCAGAGGCGCGTGCGAGCCCGACGCTGCGCATAGAGTGCGACGGGGTCCCAGAGGGTGCCCCTCCCAGGAGCAACAGAGGTGGTAGGGCAGTGCGGGGAGCGCGGCTAGCGCGCAGCGACGGAGCGACGGCGAATGCAGGGGCCCCCATGGGGACATGGGGGCCGCACGACCGCGCAGCCGTGTAAGGGGCGGGCGGCGGCTGGGGCGGCACTTGGCGGGGCCCTGGCCGTGGGAGGAAGGTTTGATTCACGTGGCGCGCGCTGCTTGGTTCCACAGGAAGCTAGGCGGGCCCGCTCCTTGGCCCGGCTGCCTGGCAGTCGCCACGAACGCCGGGCAGCCGTCAAAGGCGACGAGACCCGTCGCTGCTCCGAAATCACCGGCCGCTCGTCGACGGGCGCGGCGTCCTGGACCCCAGCTTGTCAGGCGCCACACGCGCGGCCCGCTCGCGTGCGAGGCGAGTCGGCGTGGCCCCAGCGTGCGGCCAGCATAATCAGGGGCCGCAAATTCACCCAAACCGCCTGTCTTGCCCCCCACAAAGTTCGCGGTAACTATCTCCAGTATGTTCAAGGTGCTGCTGCTCAAGAGCTCTCATCAGTGGCCGCCGCCCCCGCCGCCGCCCCCGGCGCCCATCAAGCCAAGACACACAAACGCCGGCGGGACGAGCGGCGTCGGCGCAGCCGCGGCTGCGCGGCGCGTGGCGGGTGCGTCGGCGTCGGCATCGGCCGCGCCCGCGGAGGCGCTGCGGCTGCGCCCGTGGCTGCCCAGCTGCGTCTCGATCCGGTCCATCCACTGCGCAGGTGTGATGGGGGCCGGCCCGCCGCCCGCGTCGCCGCTGGTCGATGGGTGCGCCTCTGGCGCGGACAGGTCTAGCCGGAGCGGCACCATCGCGCGGCGTGCGGCGCGCGCTGTGCCGTGAACTTCGTCGCTGCTGCTGCGAGAGCAATCCTGGTTGCGTAGGACGGAAGGGGGGACGTGCCCATGCGCGGCGGGGGGGGGGGGCGGTTGTGAAACCGCAGCCAAGCAAGTGGAAGCTGGGACGGCACTGTATGCCATCACAGCATGCCGAGGCAGCTGCTCTGAAGAGGAGTCTTTGGGCGAGCCGCCCAAAGGCGCCGCCCAAACTGTTGCGGGCGTGCCTTTGCGGGAGGCAACCACAGTGCGCATGGCCGCCCAAGCCATGCCTGCAAAACAAGACCCGCAGGCCACGCACCATGTGGTAAAGCTGGTTAGGCTCGCCGTTGCAGCCTGCTGCCCGCGGCGCGGGAGCGTCCGCCGCCGGCGGCGACCGGCGTTTCGGGGGCTGCTGCTCGTCGCCGCTGCTGTGGCAAGGGCGCTTTGGCGCGGCGGCGCTACTGCCGCTGGCGCCGCCGCCCCAAACGGTCGGCGTCGAAGGGCCCCGACTCGAGACGCTGATGCACTTCTGCTCGCCGCGCTGCAGTGACAGCGAGATCAGCTGGACCAGGGCTGGGGCGAGCGGTGCCGAAGCGCACTCCGACTCCTCATCCACCAAGCCGCTCGCGCCGCAGAACGAGCTCGCCTCGCAGTTGGAGACGGCATCCTCCAACACCATGCTGCCCGCCTACACGAACTGCGGGGGGCCACAGCGGGGTGGGGCAACAGCTGACGTGCCCCTTTACGCGACGCACCTGAGGCTGCACTCACGCCCATGAGGACTTAGATCCCAACTGTGTCAAACGCACCAGGCTAGATGCCAGCCCCGCTGGAGGGCTTCCCCCCAAACACGCACCTTTGGCGAATGTCTGCTATGCCTCCGCCCTGTTGGTTGTTCAAGACTTTGCGCCTGTGCGTCTGGGGTTGTATGAGCCTGAAAAGCGAGCTGTGCGCGGGGGTTGCAACGCTCGGGCCTCGTCCTGTCGTTTACAACGGTGTCAGGTCTAGCTAGTAGTGGTCAGTGATAGAGGCAAGCCTGAATAGATTCCAAAACACAAACTGAAGAGGAGCCAACTCAACTTTGGGGAACAGTGC